AATTCCCTGTTTTAGAAGATTAATTTTATTATAGCGTGAACGTGAGTAAATAATATATCCATGCAAATTGTAAATCATTGTATGGAAGTTTGACAAATAAATGTAAGTGCAATTATCTGCCCGTATCTGTGATCCTATCTTATTATTACTAAAGGTAATGACTGATTGGTTATGACATAGTATAACCAATAACTTAGATGGATGTTGAAAATTAAATGAATTCATTAAATCATCATTTATCAAGTATAAATCATGGAATGTCGAGTGGTGGAGTGAACTTCTACGTAGATACGCCATAATCTCCTGTAAGTAAACAGTGTGAAGGTATCGAACTCTACGGTAAGAAATAAGAAATACGACATAATATTATCTTTATATAATATAATCCACTCCTACTACCACGGATACAACCAAAACCATGACACCATCATCATCATCATCAACCAGGAACCTTCTACATACACACCTCAAAGTAAGTGTACTTTACTGCATTTTTTTTTTACTTTGCATGTACTTTTTGGTGAGCTGGAACCAAATACCCAATATCCCATTGAGACAATGGATTCGGTTAACGAACGATCCTCTGGAACGAATTGTGTTCGTTAACCAAGGGACCACTGTATATGAATTATATTAAGAAACTGTACAAAGCTATGTTTGGGTGTGTAGCCAGGGAGAGGATGTGGCGGATGAGAAGGGAGAAAACAACTCAACTCCTCCCGTGCGCATCAACCCAGGATCCCTTTATAATGACAGTATGTAATTTCCATATTATTTAGGTTCATTTAGTGTCGGGTTAATAAAACATAATTGAAAAATAATTAATTTCCCCCAAAAATTCCACACTCAATTCCAGATGAGCTATTGCACCAAAGTATATTCCCAGTCTCTTGCTTACAGAGCGGTAACAACTGATTGTTCTTGCAGATACATTGTTGCCAGTAGTCACCATCTCTCAAACACCGTTGTTGTCACTGTTCAAGGGGATTGGTGCTCACAACAGGAACTGTCTTGGGCACTTATTAAATAATATTGTGGAGTATTTATCAGAACTTAATAAATATTATTGTAGTGTATAATATGTCTCCATATGCCCTGGTTTATTCACTGACCAGTTGTCTAAGTGCCAAAGTAGCCAAATCGAGCCATCATATACAAGTATTAATTAATTTTAACACATTGCCAAAGTAGCCAAATTGAGCCATCATATATGAATTAATTTTAACAGATACTGTATTAGAAATTAAAATGTTATAAGACAATGGTTTAGTAGTGCTGTGTAAGTGCCCTCTCACGTCATCAGCTCACCTCGCTGTTACATTTATTTATGACTGTATTATTTACTTTATTATTATTATACAGTATGCCCGGATAATTCGCAGATTTTGCGGTTCTCTATCATTCGCAGATGACACCCTGGATGTACCCAAGAATGTCTGTGGGTAATTTTAAAGTTGCCGGCATTTTCGCGGCCTGGACAGGGAGACATTAGTTCTAGAGACAGTTATTTTCTTTACCTGTATTGTATATATATGTGTGTGTTGATACTACACACAAAACACATACAAATAAATAATAAAAGGAAAATCCTCTCACAAATAATCAGAAACAAATGTATATTAAAAATGTTGAGTCTACCCTCAAGTTCACTCCGTGTTTTATTAATAACAAAGCATGGAGTGAACTTCGGGGTAGACTCAACATTATAATATACATTTGTTTCTGATTATTAGTGAGAGGATTTCTCTGTTGTTATTTATTTGTATGTGTTTTGTGTGTCTATACACAAAACACATATCATATATACAATACAGTTGGTCCTCACATTACGCGGTTAATGTAACCCAGAGGGTACCGCGGAAAGTGAGGAACGCGGAAAGTGAATAACATAACATATGGGATTAATTGAAATGGAGTCCAGGCCGATCCCCAAACTCCACTTTTTGACGACACACAACTATGTTGTAGTAAAAATTTTATCTTAACTTTATGATGGTATGAAAAAACAAGTAATATAGAAGAGGTTAGGTTAGGAAAGATAAAGGTTAACATAGGAAAAATAAAGAATAGGTTAAAAAACTAAAAATTTTGTGGAACACTTACGGTAGTAGAAGAGATGGGTCGGCATACGGGGATGGAGGCTGGTTCCGAGGCAGAGGGCAGATTACTGGCCCTCAGGTGAATCACCATTACTAGGTGAATCATCATCACTGTCACTTACAGTTGTCAGGGCTTCCCTGACAAATCCCTCAAAGTCAACTTCACTGCCACTATCACTGGCTTGGGCTGGCTGTGGTGGGTTGCGGGTGAAGAAATCTGTTATGCTTTGCTGACGGCTGGCGTTGATGTTGTCGTGATACACCGTGATGTACGGCTCCATAGCCTGCACCAGCCGGTTATGGAAGACTTCATAGCGGTCATCGTCATTGTCGCGGGAAAGGACGGACTTAATTTTCTCTGCAAACTCCATGGCACACTTAATATCACTATGACTTAAACTGTGTTCTTCGGAGACTGACGCACCTTCTTCCTCCTCTTCACTGACGTGTTCTTCTTCCATCATCTCGTCGGCAGTCACTTCAGGATCTCTGATCACCTCCAGGATGTCGTCGTTGGTGGTCTCGGAGAAGCCTGGAACTGTAACAGTCTGCGCAGCTTCTCTGGCAAGGTCCACTGCTACTGCAACATTCTGAACCTCACCAGTCACAGATTGACTCCTCCTCTCACCTGGTATTCCATGCAACACATGTCTCCATGCGTGACGAATTGTAGCAATAGACAGCTGATCCCATGACTCCACCAAGATGTCCACAGCTTTCTTGATGTTAAATATTCTCCAGAATTGTTTGAAGAGTATTTTTTGCTGTTCTAACCGTTGTTCCTCATCTTCGTCGCTCTTGCTATCGGTGGTGGTGTCACTCAGGTCACGCAACTCTTCCCTGGTGTTGGTGTAGTCGTTCAGGAGCTGGAATTTTTTTGTTGAGAATGCAGCTTTCACATTGCAAATCAACTCCTGGTCCATGGGCTGTAATATAGACGTAGTGTTGGGAGGAAGGAAGACCACTTTTACGTTGGGGTGACGATCTAACAGTAGGGGCGAGTGTCCTGGTGCGTTGTCCAGCAGCAACAAAATATTAAATGGGACATTCTGTTGCTCACAGAATTTTTTTACATCAGGAACAAAACAGTCATCAAACCAGGAGAGGGACAGTGTAGAGAACATCCATGCCTTACGTGCTGTCAGCCAGTGGACATTTAGCTTGGTCATGTCCATGGTTTTGTAGGCGTGCGGCTTGCGGGCTGTGTGGATCACCGATAACTTGAGCTTACAGGTACCGGAGGCATTGGTGGCAAACAGGACGGTGATGCGTTCCTTCTGCATTTTCCGGCCCCGAATCCTGCTGGCATTCTTCACAATGTAGGACTTGGAAGGTAGTTTTCTCCAGAAAAGACCAGATTCGTCCATGTTAAACACCTGGTCGTCGGTGTACTGTCCTTCCTCCATAATCTCACGTAAAAACGGAGGAAATTCCCGAGCCGCAGCACGATCAGCACTCGCTTCTTCACCACCAATGTTTATATTGGTGATCTTGTTCCGGATCTTAAACCTCTGTAACCACCCAGAGGAAGCAGTAAAGGGTTTGGGCTCTGAAGTTCCCATCTTTCGTGCCACTGCCATGTACAGTTCACGTGCGTAGTCCTTCACAGAGCGCGTGTCGACCGCCATGTTGCGTCGCGCCTGACGCACCAAGTACCTCACAAGTAATTTTTCTGTCTTGAGAAGCACCCGGTTGTGAAAATACTTGATCATAGAAGCACCTGTAGACTTTGTGATCTTCATGTGCTCCTTTATCTTGGCTGAATCCTTCTTTATAGTCCGGATCGTAGATTCGTTGACGCCATGCTGGCGCGCGAGATCAACTTGCCGTGTTCCTTTCTCCAAATCTTGAATAATTTGGTACTTCACCTCGTAGCTTAAGGAACGTTGTGTCCTCTTTGGCTTAGTGCCGCTGGGTCCAGGTAAGGAAAGGTTTTTCTCTGGGGGTGGTGGTCCGGCGGAAGCCATTTTACGGAACAATGGATGCGCGATAACACGGAGTGGCCTTGAGGGATGAAACTGTCGCGGCTAGGTCAAGCGTCGTCTCTCCTCCCTCCCTCCCTGCCCCGGGTGGACACGTCATAATACTTTAAGCCAATTACAGCTAGCAGCAGAGGAGGGTAGGGATGCATGGCCAATCACAGGTCTGATACGTCATATGACGTCAGTGATAACGCAACAAAGACACACTGCGCAACCTTACCGCGCCGCTTGCCCAAGCGGAGGGAGGAGGAGGAGGGAGGAGGAGGAGGGAGGAGGAGGGAGAGGCAGGCAGGCGGGTGGCGCGTGGCGCGTGGGGCAAATCTAAAAATAGCGTCGCGCCGGACACTCTCCGCGGAATGGCGTTCGCGACCGCGAAATGTGAAAATGTTAGGTTCTGGCAAGGCACCGCGGTAACGGTGAAACGCGGATTGCGGGACCGCTTAATGTGAGGACCAACTGTACATGTAAAAGAAATAATTGTCCTAAGGGCAAACACAAACACATAGAGGGAATATACATTTCTTTTTACACTTGTGAAAATGTACCCCCCCCCTCGGTAGGCAATTATTCGCGGATTTGGCGATTCGAAACCATTTTGAGAACATAATCCCCGCGAATTTGAAGGGCATGCTGTATGTACATTTATAAATTATTCATGTATGCAGAGTAAATATAAATACTGTAGATTATTTTATGTAGCAGCCAAGGCAAGGCACAAAAACTGAACAGAAAACAAACAAATAATCAAACAAGCAGCCAAGGCAAGGCACAAAAACTGAACAGAAAACAAACAAATCATCAAACACAAAAATTTGGAAATGGTCAAAATATTCCGAATTCGGTTAATTCGGATTGTTAGAGCCCCCCTTTCGTCGAATAACAAGGGTATTGTGTAGGATAATTCTTTGAAAACTATCTGACACATTAAAACATGTGCTTTAATTCAATACATGAGAACCCAGCTCTTGTCCATAAATTACCTACATGTTCAACACCTCTGAATATAAATCTATATACAATAAAGGTATACCTTGATTTACTTTAGGTTGTGTTCTTAACAACCCTATTGTAAACTGAATCATATTTATCCAGTTTGGAAATGCATTCTTCAAAAACCAAAACTTCTCAAAACGCATAATAAAATGACATTTTGCAAAACAAATTTATCCTTAAAATGCCTTATCACCTTCAACCTAACATCTGAAATGATGGCGTCACATAGTCTGATACCACTAGCTGTATTGCTGCTGCTCATTTCATTTGCTGGTCACTTCCTAACATCTCAAAATAGGGTTAATTGCTTGGAAAATACAAGAAATTTCTGGAGAGTTTTGCTAAAGCATGGAGCTAGGTGCAAAAGATGCAAGTGGCTTATAAAAAATTTAATTTCTACATGCTGTAGCCATTTAAACTGCTTGGAACATGTCATTATAAATCGAGGTATACCCATATTGGCAACTGAAACTTAAAAAAATAATATATGGAATAATTGATGTCTGAACAAAACCGAGAAAACTACAGTACAATCTACAGAAGTCTCCTCTACTGTTGCTGTGCAGTCTACAACTCACAAGGGAAAAACACCTTCCACTAAATGGTCTGAAGGAAGGAACCCACCCTGCCACTTTCTGTATCCAGGTGATGAACCATACGAGAAATCAAATGATTTTGGAGTAACAATTATATCCTGAGCATCTGTATCCATGGTTGTCTCCTGACTCTTTACTACATCTTCTGGCAAACCATCAAATTCTCTGTAATGGTCTTCAATGTAGATCTTAGATCTGGAATAACCAAAAAAAAAAATAAATTACAGGTATATAAACATTTTCAAATCCTTATCTGTCAAATAACTAGACATTAGCTCAGTTGAGAATAAAACCATGAAGCATTTGAAAATGAGTCCCACAGACATAACAGCCCTTCAGGGATCATGTGATTATAGAACACAGGATAATAAGCATTCAGTATGCAAAGAAGTCAGATGACCAGCACTACATTTGTCCATATTCACTTCCCCAATTTACTGCTAGATGACCTAAAGTGACTCAGGATCATGACCTTTGGGACATCAGTCAAGTGCTGTTTCCACTCAGTCACCACAACCTATAAGAAGCATATAGCTTAAGGTAAAAAAAAAAAAATTGAGACTGCTATGGAATAATTTTAAGTACTGTACTGTGCTTAAGCATGAGAATATATAGCCTCACGTCTCTGAATAAAATCATTAAATACTAATGGAACAGATCAAGGATTTTCGATTTAAAATAAAATTAATTACAGTATACAGAAGCTAACTTTGTTTTCCCACGACCCCTGATTGTTGTACACAGTAATGCCTACTGTATACTGTACTGGCATTTTCTTTTTTCTTTGAAAATTATGTTATCTGACAAATAATGCTAACCAAAACTTACAAAAAGCTGGTTAAATGGGTTAAATTACTTCAAAGGCCATTAAAAACACTCAATACCTTGAGTACTTTATCAGCCGAGGCTTAAGAATACTCGAGATCATAAGAAAATTTAATAGACTTACCCAGGGCAGTTGTTCAAAGGAAGATAATAGAAATGAGTTAAAAGTTGACAAACAAGGGGAAAATCAAGAGTTGAAGTTGAGTTTGTTGTTGGAGTACATATGTCTGAGTGTACTGTGAGCCACATTATAACAAAGATTATTTTATTTCACTCTTAATGCAATAAAATAAAGCAAAAAATAAAACCTCATACAGTTGGTATAATTTGTTTGGCAGAAACATTGATAATATTTGTCATTATTTTGCATTGGCTAGTTGTGGATGGTCTGTAAGATGAAATTATTTGCTCTTGCAAAGAAAAGAGAAGGATAAAACTAAGTGAGTAGAAATAAAGAGAGAAGTTTTAACATTTCATGATCTGTGTGGGGAGAATTATATGTACAATACTGTAAAACAATTATGGTCAAAATCAATGCATTTGTTAATGTACAGCAACTTTAAAGTATTCCTGTGCTGTGAAAAAATTATGTCAAGAATCAATGCTATATCCCAGAATCAGTACACAAATTGAATAGTATTTAATAATAAAATTTTGAACTGTTTTAATGTAAAGAATGATAACAAGAAAAATAAGTGGGATTAAGAAGTCTTGAACAGATGCAAAGATAAAAATTTATCAAGATGGCATGGGCTCATGGAATGACTGGTACATAATATACTATATGTTGGTACAACTGAAAGGGAGAGGTAGACTGCACATGAAGAACTAAGTAACCAAGGTATAAAGGTTCAGAGGATGATACTAGAGGATTGACAATTAGTTTCCTAAGGGGGAACAAAGTCTGAATGAAAACGGAAGAACAAATGGCAATAAGACTCATAGCTGGATGAATTTTGTGGACGTCAGTCTGTGGGGGAAGGGGGATTAAAATGTTTATAGTATTAAACCAATTTAATTTTTCATCTATTTTTGTTTCTTGTTAAATTTGATGCAACTGTTCCTCCCATTTACATGTACAGTGGTTAGAAATGAAGCAAGGCTGATAGAAAGATGTAACTTCAAGTGACAATGATTAAAAAACAAAAACTTTATGACTCACAACATTCACTAATAACATACCTTTGCAAAAGATATGGATCAAATGGAAATAACATGTTAAGGGTCGTGTTGCCTGCACATCTATGTTCATCTACACTTGCAGCAGGGATCCCAAATCTTTTATTATTCTCCATAATGGTATAACAGTATGCTAGTTGGAAACGGCGAGTAACAGCTGCAAAGTTGCTGACAACAGGTGGGGCACAAATTCTCAGGGGGTTCAGCTGGCTCATAACAAGTCTCTCCAGGTTGAGGCTGCGTGCCAATGCCAGCCCTGTGGAGAAGAACTTTCGCTGCAAATATTCACCACATTTTGGGAATCAAATAAATTGTGCAAGAGTAACAAAGTATCAACTACTTTGGAATACTTCAAGGTAACTTCTCTTGTCCTCTTACTGTATATGCTCACCAGACAACAAAATGAAACCAGTTTAAGACATGCTTACTTTTTCCAGGCTGCTGGCAATCAAACCACGATTTACTCAACTTTACTTATGTTTAAAAGACTTCTGCTATCACAACAACTAGATGCCAGCATTATCAGAAAAGAGAACTTAAAATATCTGAATCAAAACAATAACAAACAAAAGGCTGTTGAAACTGAATGAGGCACCCCAAAAAATAAGAACCAGCTGATCTTAGAACAGTTTCCTGAATTTAGAATACTATACATATATATTAAGACATACTGTACTGTATTATCTTATCCTGAGTTTGTTCCATTTGAATATATTTCTACACTGGTTAAAGTGTAGAAAGAATATGAAATATAGGACAAACTGCCTTACAAATTATTATTTTTTTCTATTCATACTAAAAAGTTAATTTGATCAACAATCTTGATGAAATTTCTTACCTCTATATCATAAAACTAAAATATACCCTGTACATCTTCATTTATATCAGGTTTCATAGATTTAAAGTGGCATATACAGTGTATAGTGAATGGGGTCCTGCTCTTCATGTAGCAACATAAAGAAAGAATTTAGGAGTGTGGTAGGCAAGCCCAGGTTAAAGGAGCTTACTGGTAAGGTTAGCCTACCAAAAACACTCACCGGATCACTATCGTTCACCGTAAGTGACCCATGGAAATGCATGAATTTTAACACCTCAAAAAATATTACACACACATAATTCGACCCCCAACTTTTTGCATAAAAATCTAATCATAATAACTTGGAACTACACTTGAGTATAGGAATATGCAAAGAATTCTTCACTGGAATAAATGTTTAACCATACCAAAAAAATATTATAATAAACTGTTTGGATCTAGTTGATCATAGAATCAGTGGGGGTCTATTCTAGAAAAACTGAAGAGAATATAATTAATCTCACAGCTTGGCATAAATACAGGTAATGTGGACTTCCACATACAATATCCATGTTTACTTCACCTACTCTGAGTAAGCTAATGCATTAATTTCCTGATAAACTACTGTACTGTATATAGTAAAGTATATCACCTAAAGAGGCACCAATCACAACAACCTGACCATGCTGGATTCTGATTCGTTAAAACAAAAGGCCAGTACTTTAGTTTAGTTTCTCAACTAAGATGTATTGTAATTCTTTAAGAGAAATTTTGGACCTGGACATTATCACACAAAAACAGGGTACGTCAGAGAAATACGTATTGACAATAAATTTAACTACAGTTTGTAAAATAGTACAATATAGTACAGTACTCACTTTTGCTGTCTTTCGTATATTCTCGATATCTGAAGGTAAATACATAAAATACCGTCTGACAGGCATAGTAGAATGGTGAATGAAGCAGGAAGTCCTCATAGTTTGTAGCTCTCATCATTTCCTGTGATGTAAAAGATGATTAAATAATTATATAATGTAATGACTTTGACGGGTACAGTAAAATACAGTACAACATAACAGAAACAGGAATCCACAAAAATGATTTTGAGGAATGAGGCATTTCATGTCTAATCACCCTGTCCAATGAGAATCCTATGAATCCACTGAGAGATTTGAGCTCAACTCTTCACCCTACTGGATACTACAGAATCATTAGGTGAAGTGATTACACTGTGCAATCTTTTGCTGAATAAAAAGACTAAGTATGTAAAAAAATACTTATGTATTCAACAGGTTAAAAAAGAAGACATACTAACTGACAGGTAGAAACAAGCTCCTTAACATAAAAATACAGTACAGTCGGCCCTTCACATACGCGGGTTTAGCATTCAAGGATTCGCAAATACGCGGATTGCCCCGCCGGAGGAATATTCTGTACATTGAATAATTGAAGTACATTCAAATCGCGCGCCATTCAACTCGCGAGCGGCACCGAACACGGGACACCGCCCGCTCCCGCAACCTCTCACACACACACACACACACGCATAGCTCTCCCTCACTCAGTCAAGTCTCGCTGTAACCACGCTTGTGTTGACATCAGCATTGTAGTTGCAAAAATATTGCATTTCCGTGAATGTATTATATCAAGCACAGTATGAATAGAATATCACTAATATAAGAGTATTTTAACCGAAAACTACTAAAAAAACGAGTAACATCTCTTGAACATCGGAAGGCTAGGTAAAGTCTTTTGTTTTCATGTGGTTTATCCTAATTTACATTGAAATGCATTACGTTTCAGCAAAACTACTATTTATTTCTGAGAATATGGAAATGTAATATTTTGCTGAAATGACGTACGTATTACAGTGGAAAGTGACGAAAGCAATGACTCGCTTTCTTTCGCTCAAAAGATGTTACCGTAATCGCTTTTCGAATGGTTTTCAGTTAAAAAACTGTTGTATTACAATAATATTCTATCCTAATTCACTTGTGATGCAACAGTTTTTTAACTGAAAACCATTCGAAAAGCGATTACGGTAACATCTTTTGAACGAAAGAAAGCGAAAGTCATTGTTTTCGTCACTTTCCACTGTAATACGTACGTCATTTCAGCAAAAATATTACATTTCCGTGAATGTAGTATATCAAGCACAGTATGAATATAATATCATTGTAATATAACAGTATTTTAACCGAAAACTATTAAAAAAACGAGTAACATCTCTTGAACATTCGAAGGTTAGGTAAAGTCTTTTGTTTTCGTCATGTATTTTATCCTATTTTACATTGAAATACATCACGTTTCAGCAAAACTACTATTTATTTCTGAGAATATATTCATTCAGGCACAGTTTAGGTAAAATATACATGTGCTGTAACATTTTTTTAATTGAGAAAGATTCGAAAAACACGTACCCTCTAGCCCTGTTCAAGAAGACTGGGAGGAGCTGTTTGGTGCTTAAGACGATGACAAGGAAAATGATTTTGATGGATTTTAATGAAAATATTCAGAAAGACCCTGGCACTGTCAAGGAAAGTGGCTGCTGAAGGCTTCCGGGACATGGCAGAGGATGAGATTAGGGAGCTAATTGAAGAGCACGACACTGAGCTGACCGAGGAGGATCTACAGGAGTTAGTAGACTCAGGCAATGAAGAGGAAGAGGAAGCGAAAGGGAAAGAGGATGGGGACCAAGAAATAACGTTAGAGAAGTTGGGGAGATGACCAGGAATATTGAGGCACTGAAAAACCTGGCCTATAGTATGGACCCCTCCATGGTGCGTGCCCTGAAATTCATGCGAGGGATGGATGACGTTTTCGCTCCATACAAAAACATCATGGAAGAAATGAATGAAAGAGACGACAACTCCCCATCACCATGTTCGTTGATCACCGAAGGAGAGATTTAACACCAATCACTGGCGGCAGTGAGGAAGCAGCTGAATCCACCATCGCCCCCACTTCACCACCCGTTATGGAATTGAATGTCCGATGACCCCCGTCCTGTCGCCGAGGATAGGAACTGTACAGTAAAGTGAAGTTTTTATCTCTTTTTTTTAATAGCTTTTCTTGCCATGTTTATTGTTTGTAAAAATGTACAGCACAGTACAGTTCAGTACTGTACATAGGAAGTGGAGGTGCAGTTATTCACAAAACATTTGTGTTTGTTGTCGGCAGTAGTGACGGTGGAGGTGGAGGAGGCGGAGGAGGGAGCGAGTTGGGAGGAGTGGTGACCTTGGACGCGGGAGCAGGGACGAGATGCCAGCCAGTACATTACGGGTGTATTAATTGTTTTTATAGCTATTTTTGCATTTTAATATTAAATACTGTACATTACGTTTCAACAAAACTACCATTTATTTCTGAGAACATGGAAATGTAATATTTTTGCTGAAATGATGTACGTATTACAGTGGAAAGTGACGAAAGCAATGACTCGCTTTCTTTCGTTCAAAAGATGTTACCGTAATCGCTTTTCGAATGGTTTTCAGTTGTGGGATTATAAGGCTAATGATAGGATAGAATATTATTGTAATACAGTACGAGTACAATACAACAGTTTTTTAACTGAAAACCATTCGAAAAGCGATTACGGTAAAATCTTTTGAACAACGAAAGAAAGCGAAAGTCATTGTTTTCATAATTTTATCCCACTTTCCACTGTACAGTAATATGTACGTCATTTCAGCCAAAATATTACATTTCCATATTTATTTCTGAGAATATATTCATTCAGTCACAGTTAAGGTAAAATATACTTGTGATGTAATATTTTAATGAAAATACGGTATCGTAGTTTTCTTTTGTATCAAATTTAATTAACAAAGATTGATGTTTCAAATGTAATGAACAAAAATTTATGTACAGTATCTATAAATAAACTTTAACAAATGAATACTTTGTTTTACATCGTCCTGTGTATACCATACCATGGATTTGGCTACTTTGGGCTAGCTATGATGACGCAAGAGATCTGCCCTGGCAACTGTACCGACACTCACAGCTGGTGGTGCGTTGGTGCGTCGTTTCCATTGTTTACTGGTAGTTACTGGTAAATATTTTTCAACCTAACAAAACTATTACCCTTTTAGAGGTCGACCCCCAAAATAATTTGGTCTTAAAAACTCGAACTACACACAGGTATATACGGTAAATAAGGACATGGGGGGCCAGGGTTTTTTAGGGGGGGGGGGCAGCAAAAGTACACGGATTTTTAACATTCACGGGTAACTCTGTTACCTAACCCCCGCGTATGTTAAGGGCCGACTGTATACAAGTTTTGGCAGATAATAAAAAAATAAACTGAAAAAACCCACCTGGTTATCAAGGTAAGTGTTGCACCAAATGCAGATTACCTCCAAGCACGAATGAACATGACTGAATGGTATGAATTTTCCTCGTGCCAAGAGACTACCAATATAAGCCATGGCATTTTGTCTCACATCCCTTGAACAATTAGGATTCTCAAACTGCTTAACTCTTAAAAATTCTAAGAAGATAGTAGCCAGGCCTGGTCGTAAGGCAAGAAGATAAAAGACTAAAAACTGAACATGGCATGATGCAAAAGTACGCAAGATGATGCTGGAGAACACTTCTTTTAAATCTGTGAAAAGGAGTTTTAGTGCCGCTAAATCATGTTCTCTCCCACCACATTCACATCCAACTGTTAAACTGTTGTCATTACCACTGAGAGAGACACTCCCTGCCTGGCACAACTGTTTACTATCTCTTATTTGTGGGGTAGATTTAACATCAGCACTATTTTCACTAAGTACTGTTGGTTTTCTAGGTTCATTAAAGCCATGGCAAACATCATGAACATACTGAAGCATTATAGCCATGAGCACGTCCAGAGTATTCCCATCCTTGTGATTCATGGCACAGGATGATTCGCTAGCAACCTTGCCTTCCTTCTCCTTTGGCTCATCCACTTCCTGTAAAAAAAAATTCATGAACCACCATAAACAAATGCATACATGTTATTAAATGAGTGCCTGAGGACTTGCACATTAACTGTCTATCAAAAATAGTCCCCAATACAAATTTTCAACTACGGTATATTCCATACTTCTATTAGTAACAGTACCTAATACGCATCTTCAACTCTAATTGTACTGTAATGTCAAGAGAGATAACAATAAAGTATTTTCTTTTACAGAGTAGTACAGTACATTACTTCATGTGTCTGAGAAGTGAGGCAAGATACTTCTTTGGTGACACAAATTCCTTGAGAGTTAAACTTTTCCAGGTGGGTGACATCTCCCTAAAGCAAGATAACACAAAGGACAATGCCTATGCAAGTGTGTGTGTGTGTGTTCTAAACATGAAGAAGTGTCAATTGAGGTATCAAAACCAAATACAGTATACAGTATGTAATTTCAGGATGCAATAAATAATGCAGTTAATATGATAACCACCCAAGGAAAATTCAATGTACAGTTCTGTACAAGAAGTTTGTGAACTCACAAATTCATTAATTGTGATAACTACACAATCACAAATTTACCATACCACTAAACTAGATCCATAATACTAAACCCAGTTCCACCTAGGATAACTCCCGAGTGATATTATGTCTAATGAGGACTTTAACCGCCCAATGAGCAACTGTGGGTTAATGAGACCCTTACACGTAGGACTCGATTGTTCTTTATTCGGTCAAAACCTGCAGAGTACAAATTACATATGTTACATATGAGATAATTAATTCAATCGTATGTTCCATCACTATTAGCGACTACATATAGTATATTTGAGTAGAGTGGCGGTGTTAAACCATATAAAACTTACGTGTTTCGGGTCTAATGTAGGACTTAGTAATTCCCTGACTTGATCGGTCACTGGACGGATAGAGACTGTCTTCTGAACCCCACAGGGAGCAAAATCAGCCCGAGAGGAGGGCCATCTGTTTCACATTTAACACCCCAGCAGAGTTTGTCAACACTGTCTCTCTCTATCCCTCTCTTTCTCTCTCTCTTCTAGTTTATCCTATTATGGTGGTAACAAATCCTACTGTGGCGGTAACAAGGACCAAATAAGGAAAGGCAACCACAGGAATGAACAGAAAACAAATACCTGTATCATAATTATACGATAGGTTGACAATCCTTTATCCGAAATTCCGAAAACCGAAAATCTCTGAAAAACAAAAAAATTTTCGTGTTGCATCAATGTGTGAAATCGAACATGACTTGGACCTGACACTACCAGGCGCTTGACCCACGCTGGGCAGCGGGTGTGAGTGAGGCGTCACTTGTGTCTCAGTGTTGCTACTAGTCACACATTTGCATCTGCTGTTCTTATATTTTATGTAATTTTGTTAAATTTCACTGAAAATGCCAAAAAGAGCTTCAGATACCCCTATGGGTAACAGTGAGAAGAAAAGGAAGCGTCTCTCTTTACCGATAGCACAGAAAGTGGAGTTGTTACAGAAGCTTGATCGTGGTGTACCTGTGTGGCATCTTACTGAAAAATATGGTGTGGGAACTACCACCGTATATGACTTAAAGAAACAGAAAGACAAGTGTTTGAAGTTTTACACTGACAGTGATGACCCAAAAATAATGAAAAACAGAAAAACATTACATAGGGCAAAAAATGAAGATCTTGACCGCGTGCTGATTGAGTGGATTCAACAACAAAGAAGTGAACGTATGCCATTGACTGGTTTGATGGTCATGAAACAAGCTAGAATATACCATGAAGAACTGAACATTGATGGTGAGTGTGAATATTCAGAAGGTTGGCTGCAGAAATTTAAGAAGCGTCATGTATAAAATATATAAAAATCTGTGGTGAAAAGGCTTCTGCTGATTATGAAGCAGCTGAAAATTACATTGACGAATTTGCCAGAATAATATCTGATGAAAACCTTAGCCCTGACAAATTTACAATGCTGATGAAACAGCTCTGTACTGGAGCTACGTTCCTAGAAAAACGTTAACAACGGCTGATGAGAATGCACCAACCGGTGCTAAGGATACTAAGGACAGGTTGACTGTTCATGGGTGTGCCAATGCTGCAAGCACACACAAGTTAAAGTTGGCAGTGATTGGAAAAAGCCAACGACCGAGATGTCTGAAAGCTGTACACAATTTACCTGATCATTATTATACCAACAAGAAAGCATGGGTAACCAGAGAACTATTTTCTGACTGGTTCAATATCCACTTTGTACCAGAAGCACGAGCTCATTGCAGGGAAGCTGGACTGGAAGCAAACTGTAAAATTCTATTGTTCCTTGACAACTGCTCCACACATCCCCCTGCTGAACTTCTTGTGAAAAGTAATGTTTTTGGCATTTACTTTCCCCCCAATGTGACGTCTTTAATACAGCCTTGTGACCAAGGAATTTTACGCTCCATGAAGAGCAAATATAAAGATTTTTTTTTAACTGTATGACTGATGCAGTCAACAGAGGAGTAGGAATCCAAAGCTTCACAAAAGAGTTCAATGTTAAGGATGCCATTTATTCAGTTGCTAATGCTTGGAACGCTGTTGATAAACCAACATTAACAAATGCTTGGCACAAACTTTGGCCTACAACAATGTTTGATGTAAATGAAGATGCAGATGAAGACTTTGAAGGATTTCGTATCACTAAGGAGAAGATGATGATATCAAACCTCCTTACTTACGCCAAAGGTTTATCTTCCGAAAGAGTAAATAAGTTGGAGGAAGCCAACATTGAAGAAGTGCTGAACATTGACAATGATGCACCTGTTGTGCATTCGTTGAGTGATGGGGAAATAGCTGAAATGGTGCTAAATAAAGATAAGCATGAGGATAGTAGTGATGATGATGATGATGAAATTGTGAACACAGGTGAAAAAGTCTCCATAGACGATGTGGTGAAAACCTGTGATCAGTTAATTACTGCCCTTGAACAACGTGCATTTATCAGTGAGCATGAGATTATGGCAGTTTATTCAATTAAAGAGAGACTGCTTAGACAGAACCCACTGTTAATGAGACAGATGACACTGGAAGAAGCCTTTAAAAAGGCCATCTGTCCTAGTGTTGAGTCATCACTTGAGAGTCCTGTTCCTGGCCCATCTTCAGATGTCCGACTCCTAGTTCATGATGATGATGACAACACTGATGTGTCCTCTTCATGATAAGCAAGCCAGCTGTAATGTACCTTTACTGTATCTGTTTGAAGCTTTACTGAATGTTTTCCTTAAAAATAAATTGTACTACAGTATTTATGGACTATATTTATCCCACAATTTCATTTATGCCAAACTGAACTGAACTGAAGTGAACCGAAACTAACCTAACCTAACAACCTAACCATTCCAAAATCCGAAAAATTCCGAAAACCGAAATACATCTGGCCCAAGGATTTCGGATAAGGGATTGTCAACCTGTACCCGTATAGCATTACCATTGACAAGCAAGATTCACATGAAAAATAACTACAGAGAAAAAGGAAATAAAAGCAATTACTGCATCCCTCACTCTTCATGTCAGGAGGATAAATAGTTACTGGCACATTTCATTAGATCTCTATTATTGGGAACCTACCATATCAAATACATCTTCTTCTTCACTGCTATCATCATCATCATCCTCATCTAATGTAGCCAGCTCAGAGCGGGGTATATGAACATCAATTGTAACCATGCTGTAAGAAACATCAAGTACCAAGAATTAAGCATTACAATTTGTTAGCTTAATAGCAATATGCCAAGAAAAATGAGTTTATAAAACATGTTCTTTAATAGAAATACTGTAAATAAACTTAAAAGGTCAACCCCAGTCCATATTGTTCACTTTAGCGTGTCTTTTTCAACAATATGATGAAAGGCGGCTAGATTCAGGGAAAAAATAATCATGTGTATCTGTCTAGAATCTAGACAGATACACATGATTATTTATCTAGACTCTAGATAAATAAGCCATTTCAAATACGTATGTCTATTAGCCCAAATTGATTGACTGAAAATTAAATTAAATTTTACAGCTGAGCCTAGATTATGTTAAAAACCCAAGGTTTGCAGGACACCAACTCTTGACTGAAACATTTGAAACAGGAAGTAAATAAAACTCTTACTTGGTGATAACAATTTCTAGAAGAGCCATTCTTAAGCGAGGAAGCTGGTTGGCCAGTTGTAACAAGTTAAAAGTATAAACTGCATGTTGATGAACATGTCGTCTAAAATAGGGCATGCATTTCCTTGCTAACACCAGCAAGGTGTCACGGCACCTGTGAATATTGGAAGTATATAAATGAATGAGCATCATAAAAAAAAGGAAAGTTCATTAAACATTTTTTTTTAACAGCTGCAAGATATGAATGACTTTTCGTGGTACTGTACAAACTAGGTGTAATTTATAATTACTGAACTTTCAATAGTTTTCCCCCTTTAAATTTTTTTTAAAATATGAGAGAAAAAATTTGCGTCCACAGTACTTAATCCGTTTTCCTCTATTACCAGGACCTAACTTTTTAATGTGCTGTTTAGAAATTAATGCAAGAGAGCATTACAATGGGGGGGGGTCCTTTTATGTCCACTTTTCACTGTTTACCAAAGCACTCAACATTTTCTATCAGACCTATTAACTTACATGGGTACATGATTATGGATGGCAACAATAGAGGTCAAGATTAATTGCTGGCAAACTTCTTTCTCCTCAGTCAACAACCCTGCTTTCACCAGGAGGCTCTCATCATCCTCATTAACATCTGGGAGAGAAACATTATTAAGAAACAAATCTTTGAATAAATAGACATACAGTACTTGTACTGTATTATGACTACAGCCGACCCTCGTTAATTCGAACCCCTTTAATCCGGATTTTGGATAATTCGGACGAAATCTGAACTAAGCGAGGGACTGTCCGTATCAAATTTCTGGTTCTGGGATTGTCCGATAGATAGCGAGCGCGCGCCAGACCGCCAGTCATTGTTGACTTAGCGCCATATTCGAGTATCAGTGTTGTGTTGCCCTGCAATTTTCGTTGATATTTCAGTGATTAGGCATCTTTCAGCCTTGTATTTTACATCATGTCTTCAAGGGGGAGTACCTCTAATACGCCATAGAGGAAGTATGTGACCCTTTCTGTGAACCAGAAACTGGAACTTTTAAGGAAGTTAGAGGCTGGTGCTTCGGTGGCTAGAGTTTGTGACGAGTATGGTGTTAAAAAGCAAATAGTTTCAGATATACACAAGGCTAAGGACAAACTCACTGCATTTTCTTTGAAATATAATGCAATATTATGCAATATTAACCCCTAAATCGGTTAATTCGGCCAATCGGCTAAAACGGACACCCTTCCCCCCTATTAGTCCGAAGTAATGAGGGTCGACTGTACTGGTAAAAGTGTTTACAGACAGGAATCATGAATTTTCACCCTATAGATGTGCTGTCTCACTGGGCATCACTAGTTAAATAAGCCAGACATTAGGCCATAAAATCCACATTAAGTCAGCCTCACCTGGTATTAAGGATGTAAACAGCTGCTTGAGTACGGAGTAGGTATAATAATTATGAGCTGTGACCAAAGTGATGACAAAGCTCTTAGCAGCTGCTGCAAGTTCCTTGGATTTATACCAAGGAATTTTCTGTCAATAAAACAGAAGAATATTAGATATTTCATTTTAATGTTAACTTTTTATTGTTACAAAAATGAAGAACTGATCCTGAAATACTATCTCACAATTGAGACTGGAATGAGACGTAGATTGAAAACCTAAGAACTCTCAACATCAGTGGTAAAGGTATCTATAAACTAATATATATATATATATATATATATATATATATATATATATATATATATATATATATATATATATATATATATATATATATATATATATATATATATATATATATATATATATATAATCAACGACCTCACTGAAGATATTTGTTTTAGCTCATAAAATTCATACAAATTACCCGGCCAGAATATAATTTACATTGCTGGAATTCTTACAATATGATGATGATTTTGAATATAAACATCATGGATTTTGCATTAGACATACAAATTTTAGATCTAATGTAATAATTTGGTTTACACAAAGCAAATATTTTATCTTTTGTGAAAAATATATGAAGTTTACATTCAAAATATTCCCTGACCTGCAAGGAATCCAGAAATGTCAATTATATTATCCTAACTTTAGTCTGAGGTATTATTTATTACTAAACCTTAAAATCTAGTGGTTTCACCCAAATATTTCTCAGAGAGGTAGAAGCTAGTGAGCTGGGAAGGGGGGGGGGGATTTGAGTCCATTATTTGAATGGACATTAACCTGGTGACTGTATTTCTCTTAAATATTAATTGTGTGAGCATACCATCATAAAATTTAGATGTTATTTTTACTACAACATAGGTATTGTGTCGGAAAAAGTGGAGTTTGGGGGTCAGGCCAGTCTCTATTGGAATTAATCCCATATGTTCTGTTGTTCACTTTACGAGGTTTTCACTTTCCGCGGTACCCTGTGGGTTCAATTGACCGCGTAAATCGGGGTACTACTGTATATATATGGATCTAACAATTGCCACTCAAGGCCGAGGGCAACTCTTGTTCCTGTCATGCATGTTCCATGACCCTCATTTGGCTTCAGTTATAAATTGTCACTTCAGTGTCAGTCTTCAGCTTTTGCACATCGTAGTATTATCCAATGAGAAGAACAGAGGTAAGTCACTCAATCCAGGCTCAGGTATAAAAGGGATTTTAGGGTCAATTCTTCAATTATAACTGAAATCCTAATTGCTGTCCTTTAGCAAGGACATTGCAAAACAAAATACAGGGGGCTGTATATCTAAAAAAAAAAACATGGCCTGTAAAATAAATAATAAATAGTGTACTAAAAGTAGCAACAATGCCCGTAATTATTATTAAAGTTTAATGTCACTCATAAAGAATACCTTTACTTCTGACTAGAAATCTTAAACATGATAACAATGTCAATGAGGCTGAAAGAACATATGATTGATAAGAAAAATAAGTGGAAGAATGTTTCCTCTAAAACCTCATACATTTAAGTAATTCTAGTTAAAGACCATTCACAAAAAGATGAAAAACCACATCTAATGTTCTACTATTTCACACTGAAAATAATAGAGAGGTATAATACTTACCAAAAACTGCAAGACTATTTTATCAGCTTGTCTGTCTAACAATGGCACACATTCTGTCATTTGAGACAGCCATAATAAAAGCTCAGACTTAGACCCTGAAGTTGACAAGTCATTAAACAAACTAGAAAAATGCGAGGAATCACCAGATTCTCGAAATTTCAGTATTATAGAGTGAATAGTTTGACTTGTGTTGAAAACTACCCGTTTACAAGCAGAAGACGCGGCAGGCGCCTGTTTCTTTAATATTGGCGTTGCTGGCATTATTCAGTACTCTGCAATTATCTGAAAAAATAATATCTATTATGTAAAATCCATACAATAAAAAAACTATTATATTGTACAGGTACTGTAATTATTTCTATTAATGCAAATGAAAAAACTTTACATAAAAATCTATAGGAATTAAGGTAGCTGACAAAAACCCCATCATAAATTACATTTCTAACGATCAATTTTACTTCATTCCTAAAACTTAGGTCAGGTGAAAAGTTTGTTTCTCAGATTTTTTTTTTACAGGATTAGCCCACCCGGGCACAGGGGGCGAAAATGTAATAATAATAATAATAATAATAATAATAATAATAATAATAATAATAATAATAATAATAATAATAATTAGTTCAAAGGAAATCAAATTTATAATAAAAAAACAAAATTAAAAATAAAATAATTATAACAATAATAATATCACTGATAATACTACTAATATTAATAATAATAAAGAACCTTAAAGAAAAACAAAATTAAAAAAAGATCACTAGTGAGAAACGATATAGTACAGTATACAGTGGTCCCTCGGTTAACGAAATTTCAGTTAACGAATTACCTTCCATAAGAATATTCAATTTGGTTTACGAACAAAAATTCGGTTAACGAAATTCTTACGAAAATGTTTGGACATGCTTTGGCTTGCTCACCAGCTGGAAGATTAGTCCACCAATACAGAAATCGGTTCTAGGGCTTACATTTGTTAAAATTGGAGTAAATATCAAGAATGTTGTACTATTCAATAATTTTCCAAGTTTTATATTAAAATTTGTAGCCATTTTAACACTTATTTAACATAATTTCAGTACAGGGAACTAGTTTTTGGTGCGCCAATCAGCCACTTCACTCACCCACCAAGGCCTCAGTTGGTGTCTCTGTTCAGTGGAGGAAACATCTTGCTTGTGAGTTCCTTGAACACGGAGTATTTTTACGTTTTTACAGTACAATTATTGGTCATTCTGAAATTTATTTAACATACCGGGTATTGACACTATATAGTGCAGTGCAATGTTGATTTATAGAAAATAATCTTGAATTACACCTAGTGAACTTAAAATTTTATGGGTGAAATGACGGTATCAGGCATGGGGTGATTTCGCTTTCACCCCCACTTCCTTCTCTTCTCCCTTCTTCTCCACCCCCACTTCTAATCCCATCATCACCAGCATCAACCAGGAGCCTTCTACATACACACCTCAAAGTAAGTGTACTTTACGGCATTTTTTTTTTACTTTGTATGTAATTTTCGGTGAGCTGGAACCAATTACCCAAAATCCCATTGAAACAATGGTTTCGGTTAACGAACAACCTTCTGGAATGAATTGTGATCGTTAACCGAGGGACCACTGTATATGTTGTGTTGTCAAAGCATGAGAAACAATTGAGACCCTGCAATTGTGTGTAAATGTGGCAGAAAGTCAAATCAGCAACCTGGGACTTGGTCACAATTTTTGTGATGCCATATGGCAGCAGGATCTACCATCAAACAACACATTATACGTACTTTCAATATCATCCCAGACGGTAGTACCTCCCTGTTTGGTACCTAGCCATGTGAGGTAATATTCTCTAGGATTTTTGCATATACGTACTGTACAGTACAGTACAGTAAGTGTGACATTAATGATACTGTACCTGTTAAACTAATACAAGTAATGTTTCATGTGTGGTTTTACTTTACAGATACAGTATAAAAATTATTCATTTTTTTATCCCACTATCGGATGGGTGTGCATTATTGTTCGGAAGAAAAAAGGGTTATTATTCCGGAACAGGCGCTTATGAGCTTGTAACTAGGATGGTGATTTTATAGCACAGTATACAGTAATACAGTACAGAGTACTGTACAATTTTTTCATGTTGATTATGGTGACATTTGTTATTTCTTTGGAAAATCAAAGCCCTTCATACCTATGATGGGGTCAAGATTGACAGGGTAAGAAGGATCATAACTCAAATACAGTAGGGTACAGGTACCAATTAGAGTTGTACTATTTTTTTTTTGCTAGTCATCACTGAAACTTTACATCATAGAATGTTATATACTACCGTATATAAGATCAATATACCTACAGTAGCTATTGGAAAAATGGTAGTTTTAAAATATAGCTAGATTATAAGCAAAATTTAAATACAGTATCTCTATGTTTATTGAGAAGGAAGAGATCAAAGTTAGTGCACAGGAATTTTTACACATTTTCCTCAAATGTAAATAGCCGGTCCAATTAGTATCAGCATCCTCTCGAGTATAAAAGTCTTAAAACATATCAAGCTCCTCTTTGGATATGTTATAAAAACTTTTAGCCTGATCAACTTACTTAGGCTATGTCTCCAAGACTGCTACATACTGTGCTGCCAATCTGCAATATTTTTTTTTGCTAGTCATCACTGCAACCTCAAGCCACAGAATGTTATACAGTCGACCCTAGTTAAAACGGACCTGTTTAATCCGGATATCGGATAAACCGGACGAAATCTGAGTTAAGCGAGGGACTGTCCGTGTCAAATTTCTGGAATTGTCCGATAGATGGCTTGCGCGCGCCAGACCGCCAGTCATTGTTGACTTAGCGCCATATTCGAGTATCAGTGTTGTGTTGCCCTGCAATTTTTGTTGATATTTCAGTGATTAGGCATCTTTCAGCCTTGTATTTTACATCATGTCTTCAAGGGGGAGTAATACGCCGAAGAGGAAGCATGTGACCCTTTCTGTGAACCAGAAACTGGAACTTATAAGGAAGTTAGAGGCCAGTGCTTCGGTGTCTAGAGTTTGTGACGAGTATGGTGTTAAAAAGCAAATAGTTTCGCATATACGCAGGGCTAAGGACAAACTCACTGCATTTTCTTTGAAATATACTGTTGATGCAAATTCTAAATCATCATCTGTTGGTGCAAGGAAGCGCATGAGAGTGGCAAAAGATACAAATCTTGAGGAAGCAGTGACGAAGTGGTTTATGCAGCAACGATCCTGTGGTAATGTCATCCGTGGTGTAGAAATTCAAGCTGCTGCTGCTAATTTAGCACGTCATATGGGCACCGAGAATTTTGAAGCTAGTGACGGGTGGTTACGGCGATTTAGAAATCGCCATGGAATGTGTAATAAAATTACTCATGCTTGGAAAAAACTTCTTTACAATGTGGAGGTAGAGTATGATTTCGAAGGATTCGAGGCAAGGGACTTTCATCGTATCCTTCAGAGGGCAGGCAAAAATTATGTCACAAAAGACGACATCAGAAACTGGCTAGAAGACACAGAGGGTGACCCTGGATACCAAGTCTTAACAGAAGAAGAAATAGCAGATGAAGTTCTCGTTGGTGACAGCAGAGATAGTGAAGATGAGGAAGACGACGAACCATTGCCCAAGAAACCCAAACTCTGTTATACGAGAATCCCTTGATAATGTCATTTCGTACATTGAATTGTCAGCAGAAACCGATGCTCAGCATTACTATCAACATACCGGGTATTAGAGCCTTTAGGGAACTCATTATCCAGAGGTAACATCATCAAGGTAAACAACTGAAACTAGACTCATTCTTCAAGCTAGTTCGTCCCAACCCTGCTGCAGTTGTTGAGCCTGCTGACAGTATTGATGACCCTCCTGCTGCTGACTCAGGCCATCCTCAGTCACCTCAGCCTTCTACGAGTGGGGGACAAGGACCAGTGGAGCATCATAGCTCTACTGACTCCAAATGACAAGTTATCACCTCTACCCCCCACCTCCACCACTCAAGCTCATCTGTCATCTACCAAATGTAAATGAAATTAACAATTTACGGTATTAACTTTTTTATTTTTACATATTGTAATGTTTCATATAGCTAGTTATATGATGTTTACAGTATTTCCTGTATTTTTGTTACTGTGTATCATGTTCAGCGTACAGTGTATATGCGGTACTGTATTTCCAATATCATATACGTAGGCTTATGCAATATTAACCCCTAAATCGGATAATTCGGACAATCGGCTAAAACGGACACCCTTCCTCCCTCCCCCCATTAGTTCGTTTTAACGAGGGTCGACTGTACAGTATATATAGAATCAATATTACCTTAAATGTACATGTGTATATAGTAATATCTTCCTTGCCAGAATCCCTCTTAACTGGGACTCTCCAAAACATAGAACTGAAATTTGCTAAGAATTGTTTGGGGAAAAGTTTATTTCAATTAAAGCTCTGTGAACGATTTCTGAGGTTAAAAAACAGGCGCATTTTCCGAAAATTCTAAGGATGAAAATTTCAGTAATGTGTAATTCTGGAAAATTCCAAAAACTCTCCAAATTTTTTCCCGGGTCTGGGAGCAAATTCCAAGGATGAATTAATACGCAATATACGGATATTGCGAGAAAATTTTCCCAGTAGCCGGAAAAAATTCCAGGGATGAGGGATATTTCCAGGTTTGATAGAGTCGTCTAGTTACCTGGAAATTTCTCATCCCCGGAAGTGTTCTACACTAATTTTTCTATCTAACAGGGATATCTCATTATAAATTGATTACTAATTGGACCACAGGTTGGAAAGCAGCAGGCACTCAGAGAAAATGGACCCAAGTCCCCCATTAGGTATGGTAGGGGGCTCCAATATGTCTGTTAAAGGGTGTTTATTATCTTCCTGGATATGTTTGAAAAATGCATACTACAGTAGTTGGTTTGGTTGGGTGATCATCTAGTAGTAAGTACCGGTACACACTCCTGCCACCCCCATATATCATAGGTGCAAAATCAATTTAGATTATTCTTGGGATTGATCCCAGGCATTGGTCATTCACCCGGAGAGAGGAAATATATGGGAGATGATAAAAATTAGGTAAAAAAAGTTTCTACCCTTAGGTTTTCCATAAGAATTCCTTTGAATCACTGATTTTTTTTTATTATCCAATCCCTGTCACAGCTATGAGTGCAACATAGCCTGTTTGTGGAAGCAATGCATGATACTATTTTTTTTATTTTTTTTTTACGGGGAATAGCCCACCCGGGCACAGGTCATATTGACTCACATCGGGGCCTATGGGGCAAAAAATAAGAATAAAAAGAAATTAAAAATAGAAAATGAAAAGGTTATATTAATCTACACCACGAAGATATTTTATATTAGTGCACCGTTCTATCTAACCTAACCTAATCAGGGGGACTTTGCCCCCTTTGACCCCCTTCCAATTAGGTTAGGTTAGGTTAGTTTTTGGTGATTTTCTATGGTTTTTTACACATAATTCTAAAACCCAAAGAAAGAACAGTGCACTACTATAAATTGACCGCAACATTTACTAGAACCTAATAGAACCTGACCTAACCAACCAAAGACGCCGACCTAACAGTACCTATCTTCCGAGCCGGGGATTCCTGACTAGGTAGCCACTTCCTATGTTATTCTCAGAGTTCTATTAGGTAAACATTTACTTACGTGCTGCGAGCGATATCGCCAGCAAAAACATTTTATTCCTGCATGAATTTTGCTGCTTTTTTTTTTTGGAGATATTTTTTCTGGGGTAAAACTAAAACAGTAAATAAAACAGCAAAATTTATGCAGGAAAAGATTTGTTTTTGCTGCTTTTAATGTACACAAAAGAAACACTAACCTAACTTAAACCCCCCGCCCCCCGTGAGTGGATATGCAATGTAGTCAGTATTTAACCTAACCTGACGTAGCCTGATCTAACTACCTAGCGGAGGGGCTTTGCCCCTCTCAACCCCCCCCCCCCAAGTGGTTATATAATATTGTCAGTATTTAACTTATCCTTATAAAAGAGAAACACTTCCCCAAAAGAGAACATTGTCACTAGCAATTGACAACAAAAATTATGGTGGAAAAGCAGTGTTCTTGCTAGAATCGCTGGTACAGGTTGTACCTCTCTAGTCCGGCAACCTCGGAACCTGACCAGTGCCGGACCATGGAAATTTCCGGACCATGGAAATTCACCCTTTTCCTGAATAGATAGTGACTTGTGCTTATACTTGGAAGCACTAGCACCACTTTCAATGCTTTGTGGTCTCTTTAAAGACATATTGAAGGGTTAAATGTTGTACAGTAGGTTCTCAAATTTTGCGAGTTTTTAATTCGACGTTTTTTATTTGGACTATAAAAACTATGCAATTTAAAATTTCGACGGCGGAAACTCGAATTTCGACGGGTTTGAGCAGCCCGCCAACGTTCAGACGTGCACAAATCGTGTAAACAGCGTCATTTCTTTTATATACAAAAGATTCATTATTGTTTATTACTGAATGTCTTTTTGATTGAATTAATTTTTGTGTGCAAAATGAACAATACAATTCATTAATAATACGTACGTAGAATATTAAAACACACGAGGAAACGAGACGGCATTGTTTTTGTTGAGTACAAAACCAGTGACTGACTGATTCTACATATAAAACTGCAGAAAATGACCCTGGTTGTAGCTGCAGTAAAATTAATGAAAAAAATTAATATGGTTGTTTTAAGTAATATTATTTAATGTTAATAAATGGAACAATATAAGTAGCTAACCATTAATGGTAAAGAAAAAAGTGAGATCACGTATGTAAGTGCGCACATGTGAAAACATATCATCATTACTATACATAAGAATATGAAAGCAACACTTATTTACTGTTCATATACAGTAAATTTTAATTCATGTTTCTGAATTTAAAAAAAAAATTCTACCCACCAGTGGTGGTAAAGTTGAAAACATAAGGACAGCCAATGTTGTTGTGTGTGTTTTTACTCGGATGACAAAGTTGCCAAGTCATCAGGTTCAACTCTAGCTGAAGCTGTAGAACATAAGAACTTTTTCTGTGTTGTTTTTAGTTTTTATTTAACTTTATCTGTGTTATTTTCATTGGTTTATTAGGATGTTGCTATATTACAGGTACTAGTTCGCAAAAAAAGTAGGGTAAATAAGGCAAAATTTAGCCAAACATCGAAAGTACCAGACTCAAATTAATTTTCTCCATGGGCAAACTAAAATTGTTCCGGACCACAGGAGTTTCCGGACCACAGAATGCCTGACTGGAGAGGTACAACCTGTAGCATTAATCTACACGTTAACCTTCTATTATATATACTACCATATACTACAGGTTGACAATCCCTTTATCCGAAATCCTTGGGGCCAGAGGCATTTCAGTTTTCGGAATTTTTCGGTTTTCAGAATGTTTTTTTTTTTTTTTTTTTTTAATAATGTGTATTAGCCCAATCGTGCATAGATCACTGACCCACATTGGGGCCTGGGGGGTCGAAAATATAATAAAAATAATAATACAGGGTAATAATAATTCATAGGTCTAGGTCGTGTTTCTCACTTTTGATCTTTTTTTCATTCTTGTATTTCTTTACCGTACTATTATTTGTATTATTACAGTATTATTATTATTAATATCAATTTCATTATTATATTTTATTATTATTATTATTGTAATCATTATTATCTTATTTTGGTGTATTTTTATTAAAATTTTTATTTACTATGAATAATTATTATTATTATAATTATTATTACTATTACATTTTCGCCCCCCAGGCCCCGATGTGGGTTAGTGATCTGTGCCTGGCTGGGCTAATAATCCCTGTTTAAAAAAAAAAAAAAAAAAAAAGCAGCAGCCCCACAAAAAAACTTTCGGTTTTTAGAGCTTTTCAGTTTTCGGAATTTCGGATAACGGGTTGTCAACTTGTACATTGTATTCTCTTGTATTTTAAAGCATACCCATACTGTATTTTATTGTACATGTTAAGAATTACTGTACCAATATAATCACTCGCTTACACCAACTTATAAGTTACAACACATGGGGAAAATGAGGTTAAAACAGTAGGAAAAAGACTGCCCAACCAAAATTATTCTTAAGTGTAATGTACTACTTGTGGGAAATTTATAGTAGTTCACACAACTCTGTTTAAAAGTCAAAACTATGTTTTTCTAGTGTACTTTTGTGTGCTTTGATTGGTTCTGACCTTGATTTCCGTCAGATATTGCCTGTTTTTTAGTTATCTCCCTCTTCTACCCCCAACAAGATAGGGAATCCTGTTGGGAATCGGGGTTTTGGGTGGGGAAGAGAAACAAGCATTTTCTGACAAAAATCATGGCCAAGTGAATACAAAACACATAAAAAAAAACACTATAAAACAAATACTGTAAACCTAACCTTTTTTGGGGAAGGCCTAACGTAACCTGACCTAACCTAACTCTCACTGTGTTTTTATGTAATCAGACCCTCACCATGAGGGAATCACTGTTATTTCGTACAGTATTCCGAATTAGGATCCAAAATTCGAGTAGGCTGGTCGGAAATAAATTTGAATTTCGAAGCACGACCCAAAAACACAATTGAATGTAATTGGGCAAAAAATACTGTGAATTCTAAAAGCAGAAACCACAATTCATTTTAATTGGTGGCAAAAAAAAAAAAAAATGCTTTTGATTGGCTGTGTGACGTGTACGGGAATGCACGTGCATGACGATTTATGAAGGAAAGATTAATGGAATTAAATAAATAAAGGTTTGGCATGCGCTATCTCCGTTATTATACGTTTCCGAAGGTAATGTAATAGAAGAGAATTATCTTACTAGACGTCTTTTTCGAATATGATAATAGTTTTGGGGTAGAAATGTTGTGTGAACTACTATAAAAATGCCCTACTTGTTATATATGGAACAGAAAACCGTAATATTGTAGTTTACAACAACCACAGAATTCCGTAAATCCACTACTGTACACACAATCGATAGAACTACTTTTTCTATTACCATTTTCTTATTTTACATTTCCGTTGCAATTTGATAAGACAGGTTGTACCTCTCTAGTCCGCCAACCTCGGGACCTGACCGGTGCCGGACCATGGAAATTCACCCTTTTCCTGGATAGATAGTGACTTGTGCTTATGCTTGGAAGCACTAGCACAACTTTCTCTGCACCATGGTCTCTTTCAAGACATATTGAAGGGTTAAATGTCTTATAGTAGCTTCTCAAATTTCGCGAGTTTTTAATTCAACGTATTTTATTGGAACACACACACAAAAAAAAATAAATAAAATTTGACGGCGGAAACTTGAATTTCGACGGGTTTGAACGGCCCGCCAACGTGCAGACGACGTGCATAATCGTGTAAACAGCGTAATTTCTCTTATGTACAAAAGATTCATTATTGTTTATTACTGAATGTCTTTTTTATTGAATTAATATGTGTGCAAAATGAGCAATACAATTCAATAATACTATGTAGAATATTAAAACACACGAGGAAATGACACAGCATTGTTTTCGTTGATTACAAAACCAGTGACTGACTGGTTCTACATATAAAACTGAAGAAAATAAGACCTTGGTTGTAGCTGTAGTAAAATTAATATGGTTGTTTTAAGTTTTAAGAAAGTCACATAAAATTGGAAAACTTACTTTAATCTGAGTTAATAGATCGCGTGCATGCACGCGATCTATTAACTCAGATTAAAGTAAGTTCTCCAATTTTTTGTGACTTTCTGACACCAAATACTAGTCGAGAAGTGATTAGCAGTCCGATTTATTCATGTAGGACCATTATTTGACTTCATTGCGGCTTTATTTGGGTACATTTGGGTACTTAGTCGGACCGCGTTCCAGCACTTACTACAAAGTTGCTAAGCTTGTTCCACTCGTCTACCACCCTATTTGTGAACCAGTTACTTCCTATCTCCTTCCTAAACCTAAACTTATCCAACTTAAATCCGTTGCTACGAGTCCTATCCTGCTTGGATATTATAAGAACTTTATCTTTATCACATTTATTGGTTCCTTTCACCCACAAAAAATACTTCTATCATATCTCCCCACACTCTTCGTCTTTCTAGGGAATGCAAGTTTAGTTTCTTTAACCTATCTCGATGTGGAAGGTTTCTAAGTCCCGGAATAATTTTCGTCATTCTTCGCTGCACCGACTCCAGTGAATTGATAACCATTCTATAATAAGGGCACCAGAACTGAACCGCATAATCGAGGTGCGGCCTGACTAGTGCAAGATATAGTTGCAATAAAACCTCTGCACTCTTGTTACTTACACTTCTAGGGATTCAGCAAGGTAAACAACAAAAAATGGCACCGGGAGAATTGTGAAGCAGGAGAGTAAATAAAAAAAATTCCCCCCAAAATACTTAAAATCATAATAGAAAGTTGTCGTTTCTTTGAATATATACCTAAAATCATCAAAACAATAAGTACAGCAAAAATAAAGACAATCAACAAACAACTTCTGGTGGTAGCCATTATCTACACCTTTACCCTGCAATTTTACCCAGAAAACTTATTTATCTATTTTGTATATTTTTGTTTGAGCACGTGTATTGTCCACATAACTGCTGAACCATTGTTAATATATAAGACTATTTAATAAAATAAATAACTACATGTTACACAGTTCCCTAGCCGCCATGACGGGAAAAAACAATAATCTTTATCCAAATTCAATTTCCCAGAATGGTTGACAATTTAAATATATAAAAACATTAACTAACAATTACCTTATATACAGAATAATATTTCCGGATGCAACCGAATACAAATATCAGGAGTAACAATAACTTATACGGAGATAGTCACCAGCAGGTCTCATCACAACAACACCAAACGTGGAGTAATGCTCGCTTAAACCCTCATGTCGTAATCTTCGTGTTGGGCTAAACATAGAAAATGTCTATGGGTGTAGATTTCTGGGGTAACTCTTGTAATTGTGGTTATCTACAAATACTTGTGCTTAATCCCGAATAAATATAAAATTTTCCTTGTATATGTGTTCTTTGTTGCCGGATTTAGCAGGTAAGGAAGGGTTTTATTGCATATGGACTTATCGATATAGATCTTGGATATATGGAAAAAGCAGGGGCATTTAATGTAACATATTGTATATGAATTTTATAAAGGTTTTCGATAGGGCTTCATAATAGCTTCTCCTTAATACTCAAATTATAATATTGCTGAGTAAGCCTATTATTGAATTTAATCGTTTCTGATTGACAGAAGACAGAAATTTTATGTAAATTGATTATGTTCTAAACTGTTGTGTTAAGGGGCAGTCATCTTGAAAAATAGCCGCCATAGTGATAAATGGCCGCCATCTTGAAAAATGGCCGCCATCTTGAAAAATGGCTAGCATCTTGAAAAATGGCCGCCATCTTAAAAAATGGCTGCCATCTTGAAAAATAGCCGCCATCTTGAAAATTAGCTACAATTTTGTAATTTGCCACCTCGAAAAATAGCTGGCATATTGAAAAATAGCAGCTATCTTGAAAAATAGCCTCCATCTTGAAAGTCACCATATTCGAAAAACTTAAAAGCAAAATAACTGCTAAGGTATTAATTGTATCGAAAAATAACATCCAGTCAAAGTTGTTCTAAATAATTTACTGTATAGTTCCCTATTTGCTTGTTATCTTTGTTATTGATACGGTTTTGAAGGATATTGGGCGCTGATAAGATAAAGTTGACGTCATACTTTTACTTTTATCCTCTTCGCCACTGATCGGCTTGTTAGCCGCTTGGGCGATCGGTCACGACTCTTTTCCTTTATATTCTTCACCAAAAGGTCGGCTCGCTAGCCGCCCGGGCGATCGGTCACGTCTCTGTCACGCACTGTTGGCAAATACTGGGCATGCACCGGCTCCTGAATGTACCTGAACCGCTCCAGTGTTGGTCAAGTCTTCTCTTGAAAGAGCTCACACTCGGTGCCGTCACAACACTTTCTGGTAGATTGTTCCAAGAGTTTACAACCCTCACTCCGAAAAAGTTTGCCCTCACGGTTTTCCGGACTTGCGGCTTCTTCAATCTTGAGCTGTGACCCCTTGTGGGGCGAGCGTCCGCCAGCTCCAAGTAAGGACACTCAACTGAGTAGTGCCCCCTGAGATGCTTATAAACCTCAACTAGGTCCCCCCTTGCCCGTCTGTAGTATAAGCTAGGCAAGTTCAGGCGCTCCAATCTCGCAGGGTAGCTGAGATGCCGAAGTGCAGGCACCAGCTTGGTGGCCCTCCTTTGAACATTTTCAACCAACTGACAGTCCCTAGCATATCTCGGGGACCAGATGGGGTGACAGTACTCCAGATGGGGAAGCACTTCACTCCTGAAGATCGTCACGAGGGACGGACCGTCTAGATATCTGAACGACCTTCTTATAAGACCCAATAATTTATTTGCCTGATTTACCTTCTTCTCACAATGGCCCGAGAACTTCAGCTCATTGTCAACATACACACCTAGGTCCTTCTCACACACAGTCTCAACTAGTACATTTTCTTCATCCCGTTGGGACATATGGTACGCCTCCTTACCGTTGGTACGCCCCAGGTGCATCCTCTTACACTTCGTGACATTGAATCTCAGCAGCCATTCCTTCGACCATTCCTGGAGCCCACAGAGGTCCTTCTGCAGCTCTTCACAGTCCGCTTGGTTCTTAATTTCCCGAAATAACTTGGCGTCATCGGCAAACATTTGTATGGAGGAGTGTACAACGTCAGGCATATCATTTATGAAACAAACAAACAACAGCGGGCCCAATACACTACCCTGCGGTACCCCACTTGTTACAGGTACAGATGACGATTTCGTGCCATTAATCACCACACATTGCTTGCGGTCATGTAGAAAGTCTTCTATCCACGCTAGGACATTTCCCCGAATTCCGTACCCTTCCAGTTTGATTTTCAGCCTTTCGTGGGGTACACTGTCGAAAGCCTTGGCAAAATCTAGGTAAATATTGTCGATATTACCACCCCGTTCTAGAATATGGGTCCAAATATCCAATACCTTGAGCAATTGTGTCAAGCAAGAGCGCCCCGGCATAAAACCGTGTTGGCAATCTTTTACAAGGTTGTTTCGTAGTAGATGTTCCATCGCTGCATCTCTGATAATACTCTCAAGTACTTTACATATTATGCTGGTCAGGCTCACCGGTCTATAGTTGTTCGTGGAGTGCCTATCGCCCTTCTTGAAGATAGGACTCACATAAGCCACTTTCCATTCACTGGGGACCATTTGTTCATCCAGGCATTTACAAAACAGAATCTTCAGGGGCTCTGCAAGCTCGTTGCACAGCTCCCTTAGCACTCTAGGATGCACCATGTCAGGTCCAGGACTCTTATGGACCTTTAGCCTGGACAGTTTATTTCTAATACCCTCTTCTGTGAACACAATGTGGGTCAGTGCTGTGTCGAACCGTCTGTCCTCAAACGCAGGAAGGTTAGTTGCATCCTCTCTTGTGAACACTGAGGAAAAGAAGCTGTTCAATGCCTCAGCTTTATCCTGGTCAGAATCTGCGTAACTACCATCTTCAAGCCTCAGGTCTGATACTCCTACTCGCGTTTTCAATTTCGACTTTGCATAGCGGTAAAACGCCTTTGGGTTTGACTTGACCTCGCGTGCAACCAGCCTTTGGAACTCCTTTTCAGCCCTCCTACACTCTATCTTTGCTTGGTTTCTGGCTCTTGCATACATCCTCCTGTCTTGCTCATCGTTTGACCCAACCCACGTCTTGAATTTCTGGGTTTTCTTCTTAATTTTGTCGACCGCCGCATGGTTCATGTGTAGGGATCCCCTCGTATTCCTAGAAGCACTGGGTTTGGTCTTGGGTATATATTTATCGATCAAATGGGTCATTTTACTAGTTATGATATTCAGCGTAGTGTCTGCGTTCTTGTACCTTAATAAGTCAGGCCAGTTGATACCCCTCATCTCTTCCCTCATCCCATTGTAATTTCCCTTGTAATATTTGCACCTTGGCCTGGCCTTATCTTGAACTAGGTAACAGTTAAATCTGAATGACAACACTGTATGGTGACTGGTGCCAACTGGGGCAAGGTGTTCCAGTTTGGCCACCATACCCTCCTCGTTTGTTATGATGAGGTCAAGTGGCTTGGGTGTTTGTTCCCCTCTGTAATGTGTCGGGTCTCTCACATGTTGGAACAGAAAATTATCTCTCAGAGTTTCTACAAAAAGAGTAGCAGGATTATTCAAGTCATTCGGGGTTGACTCGTTTCTCCAGTCGATGTCGCCATAGTTAAAGTCCCCCATGATAAGGAGGTGGCTGGGGTTGAGCATCGCCGCATTGTTTATTAAGGTTCTTAAGTTCCTTTGATTTAGTGGGCCACAGTTCGGGGATCTGTAGATACACCCGACGATAAGTAAGTCCCCTCCCTTTAATTTAATTTTACACCACTTGGACTCTTCAAAGACATCCTCTCCCTGTACCCTCGCCTGGCTGGCTCTAAGGTCTTGCCTAGCGTAGATAACCACACCCCTCCTGCAGGATTCTTGAGTTAGGTTCGTAAATGAGTCATATCCAGCAATACTGAACTCGCATTCCTCTGGGTCGATTCTCCTGTTCTTGTACAACAGTTCTACAACTCCTACAATATCTGGTTGGTGTACTCTTAGTAGTGTTTCAAACTCCTCCCTCTTATCCAGGAACGTGTCGGTATTAGTGTACATGACATTCAAGCCAGAATTTGTTCTCGGTAACGTCTCTGCTCTTAGTAATAAACCCGCTCCACCCACATTCTCAGAAGCTGCAGCATTTGCTAAGTACACTGTATTTTGCAGGGTGTGGTTAAAAATTTCATTGTTTACACGGCGCTCGTTCCCTCCTGTCCGGTAGGCTGAGCTGGTGCCGCCTCCCGGGTGGGGGGTTGAGTGGGTGGAGGGTGCACTGCTGCCCCCTGGCCCTGTGTCGGCACACTTGTTTCCACTACCCTCCCCCTGAGTATAACCCATGTGCACCTGTCCCCGTTCCTTCTCGACTCCTCCCTCCTCTGCTTCAAGTCCAGCAGGAGCTTCTTGTGCTGTTCCCTCTGCATTACCGTGCGGTCTGGGTGAATAAATACATCTCGAAATGCCTCGCTCCTTGCTAAGTTTTTTGCCTGCCGGATAACTTGCCATTTTTCCTCCTCACTCCCTAATGTGATCCTGAGGGGGCGAGGCTTAGCCCCCTGCTTTTGTCCCAGTCTCCTCACATCCTGAGGGGTTGCTGGAATCTTCAGAACCTCTGTGCAAATATTTTGAAACAGCACCTTGTCGTGTGTTTCCTTACTCACAGTTCCCTCTGCCTGGCTCTCTGGGACTCCAAAAACTATTACATTGTTCCTGCGCTGGAGCCGTTCCTGGTGTTCCTCCTCTCCCCTAACAGTAGGTCCGTTAATTTTCATTTCTTCGACACACTTTTTCAGAGTCCCAATCTGCTGTAGAACCTGTACTGATTCTGCATTACTCTCCGCCCCCCCCACCCGTGGCCCTCCTAATACGTCCGCATAGCTCCTCTTAGCAACCACCTCCATTCTATTAGCTACTTCCTCAGTCTTAGCAAGGATCTCTTTCTCAACTTGCTCCAGTTTGTCAACCAGCAGGGCTCCTGCTTCATCTATTTTCGTCCCTAGAGAACTCGTTCCCTTATGGATTGCAATCGCTTCATTCACCTTGACTATGCAGCCAGGGCAATACCAGCAACAGCCATCAAGCTTTACGGCAGTTAGTAACTTCCTAGACGTTGCATTAGTTAGGCCTGCATCCTCCATATCCGACGTCTCCCTGCAGTAATCACATACCAAACTCATGGTTGTTGTTGTTGTGGGGGGGGTGTAGACTGTGTATAGAT